AGTGCTGGAATCACTAGTGTGGTCCATTGTACTTAGCGATCACTTTACATTGGAAATTTTTGGATTTGGGCTGGAGAGATGGCTCAGTGGGTGAAGGCCTTGCTGGGAAGCCTGGCAACCTGAGTTGAATCCATGGAACCCACACAGGAGGGGGAGAACAAGCAACTCTGTAGTGGGTGGAGAGAACTGACTTCGCCATATTGTTCTCTGATTCCATGTACACTCCGGTGTGCACACAGATATGCACAGAAGAGTAAAATGCTCACTGGATCTGGATTTTGGAGAATAATGACACACCGTTTTCTTTGTATTTCTTGTGCCTAGCATAGTGTCCTGAATTCTCTTGCAGTGGAAAAATTGTCAAACTAAATTAAAGACATATAGAGTTCTTGGACTCTGACTGAAAGGGCTTAGGAATATGGCTTTTCTGTTTCCTCCCTTGTTATTACTAAAATGATAAAACCTTCACTGTAACCATTTTTAAAAAGACAAGAACTAGTGAACGTAATTTTAGAATGACTCCAGAAACAAAGTTGCTGATACATGAGTCACTTATCCTGTCATAGCAGTTTCTGGAAATATTGTCTGATATTAGAGTGACCTATAATCATATATGTCCCCATAGGGCGCAGAGGTAACACCTGTGCTCCTTTGTAGGACCTACCTATCTTATAGCTCCTAAAAGGTCTTCGTTTAATATATGTAATACAAAGTAAAACATTGCCAGACATGGCGTATGTGCATGTCCTTAATCCCAGGATTTGGAGGTGGAGGCAGGAGGATTACCAGCTCACAGCCAGCCTGGGACACATATTAGGGGCCTGACCCAAAAATAACAAAGTAAAACATGAGGCTAGGGGAACTAATTTTTTTAAAACATTATTTTCTTACATGTGTGAGTGTTTTGGCTACATGTGTGTCTGGTGCACACGGAAGGCAGATGACAGCTTTGGATCCCCTGGATCTGGAATTACAGATGGTTGTGAACCACTGTGTGGGTGCTGGGAATTGAACCAGGGTCCTCTGCAAAACCAGCCAGTGCTCTAGACCACTGAGCCATATCTCTGGCTAAGAAAGCTTTCTAATTATAGCGTTTGTCGTCTTAAAACGTCGCAGTGTGGCAGAAACGCTGTTGGGAAAAACATGTAGTCTGGCCTGTTTCGGTGACAGCTTTTTGTCAAACACCCGAAGAACCGAGAGTGGGGGCCCCAACTGTTGTTCTGTCATGCGTCTGTAAATGCCCGTTTACTTCAGCACACGGCAGCGTGCCTTTTGTCTGTGGCTGGTGAACACACGCTAGTGTGCCTGGCTGATGAGCACATGCCAGTGTGCTGCTCGCCTGCGGATGGTGTGTGAGCATCTCAAGACTTACAGGCTTTTATTGTTTTACATCCTCTGTGGGTCCAGAATCCAGGAAATGCTTAGCGTGGTGCCTATGGCTCAAGGTTGCTCTTGTGGCTTCCGTTGAGGTGTCTGACAGGGGCTGGAATCACCAGAGTGTGGCTGCAGACAAGAGGCTCTGCTTCCTTCTTAGGGCACCGCCTCAGGCTGCTCAGGATATGGCTTTCCCCATGGGCAGGGATCCAGGATCGAGGCAGCATTCGCAGGGCAAAGGATTTATGTAGTTTTTTACCTCAGGAGTGAATTCTCTTTTGTCTATTGTATTTAAATCATTAAAGCAGGTTATTAAAAACATACTCACTAGGAGAGGAACTAAGCTTTCCCTGCGGAAGGGAGGAAATGCAAGGACTTGTGGGCATTCTTGCACACTGACCACAGGCACCTACTGCCCGCAGAAGACAGTTTGCTTTCCAGCTGTGTGTGTGACTTTAAGGAATTTCGGTCTCCTTATAGACAAGTTGTAGACGTGTACACTCAGCAATAGATGAAGTAGTCCTGCCCTCCCACAGGGGAAGCCTTAGGTAACCTTAACAACGTTAAGTGAGCAGACGGGGAAAGGGGAATATTGCATCGGCAGCTGCGTTACAAATGGACGGTAGCGGTGAGCTTGCCCATGCATTACCGGCATTACGGGCGTTACTGGCGTTACCGGTGAAGACAGGCATCTCCATAGACAGTTCACCTTGTGGCTTCTTCAGATTTGTGGTCAAATAATATTTGGTCACAAGGTTTTCATCACTTATGTTGTTAATTGCAAATACTTCCTCTTCGTTGACTTCGGTTGATTTTGAGTGGTCCAAGGTATTCCAAACTAACTCTTTTCTAGAGAATATTTATGAATTCTAAAGGGAATATATATAATGCTTACAATTAGAAATAATTACCTGTATGGTATATAGACACGCTATACATATTTTTTATGGAACCTTGTTATTCTGGCTAATTTTATGTCAACTTGACACAGGATAGAGTCATCTGAGAGGAGATGAAAAGAAAATGCCTCCAAAAGATCGGGGTGCAGGCAGGCCTGTAGAGCATTTTCTTAATTAGTGACTGATGGGGGATGGTCCAGCCCATTGTGGGTGAGGCCATGCCTGGGCTGGTGGTCCTAGATTCTACAAGAAAGCAGGCCAAGCAAACATGGGGAGCAATTCATGTAAGCAGCTCCCCTCCATTGCTTCTGCATCAGCTCCTGCCTCCAGGTTCCTGCCCAGAGCAAGTTCCTATCCTGATAAATAAAACTGCTTTGGCCAAAAGCAAGACCGGATAGAGCTAGGTAGGAAACCCAGGCAGAGATACAGGGAGAAAAAGGACTGAGTCAGAGAGAGAGGCACCAGCAGCCACCCAAGGAGCATCATGTCAGAGCACCACTCCAAGAATTTTATTGCTAATCCTGGCCAGTCAATTGCAGACTCCATCCTAGATTCAGGTTTCTTTACTGGCACAGTGGAATGGCTGTACAGATAATTCTCCTGCAACAGGAATCCCTGGAACTGGAGTTATGGATGGTTGTATACCACCCTTTGGGCCTGACTCTTAACCACTGAGCAATCTCTGTTTCTTCTTCTTCTTCTTCTTCTTCTTCTTCTTCTTTTTCTTCTTCTTCTTCTTCTTCTTCTTCTTCTTCTTCTTCTTCTTCTTCTTCTTCTTCTTCTTCTTCTTCGTCTTCTTCTTCATAACCCAATGAGGCCATGTAGTGTCGCCATGTGCACATGGGTGTAGGGAGGCACCCACCTACCATGATATCACTGAAGAAAACTGACTTCCCTGCCCCAGCAGCCAATATCATTTGCATTGCTCTTTCTCCGTTCTTTATAGACAGTTTCACTATGTAGCCATGTCTAGCCTGGATCTCACTATGTAGACCAGGCTGACCTTGAACTAGCAAAATCAGCCTGCCTTAGAATCCTGAGTGTTTAAAGGCGTTAAAGGCAATGAATGGGGCTAAAGGCAAGCAGAACCAAACTTAACCATTTCCTATTTTTAGAAAATTCCTATTTTTAGCATTACATAAAAAGTCTTTGTGTACTCGAAGAGTTCTTTTACTTCTCCCAGCATATTAAGTAAGTATGCTAGTGAGTAGACTAATCACTCAGATACCTCTAATACATATATATCTATATCATTCTGTATGTGTGTGTGTTGAATGCTTTCTTTCTGTGTAAAATGAGGACGTGACTGCTCCAAGGTGTGGATGAGGGGAAGGGTTTTATTGTCGATGTGAGGGAGAGAACAGCCAGGAGCATCTGAGAGAGTGCAGAGCAGGGAGAGAAAGCAGTAGACGGAACATGGCCAGCGGAGTCAGACAGGCCATGAGAGGAGAGAGTTGGGTGAGAGAGGAAGATGAGAGAGGGGATGGCTGAGAGGGTATGTATTCGTGAGAGCTGGGGAAGGGAAGCCCATGAACTGGAGAAGCTTAGGTAGCAGCAGGGTGAGAAGAGCTGCAAAGAAGTCCAGAGTGAGCCTGGAGGACAGCACACTTTGGTGTTCGAACAGGCACCATACCCATCTGTATGTTTTGGAATGGCACTTCCTGTATTCTTTCTTTGATGAACTATTTAAAAAGAAGTTAAGATGTCACGATGCCTCACTCTTAAATCCTTCAACCTTTGTCACCTCAGAATGAATGTATCCTCCCAGACCAGCACACACTCTTTGCATGCCAGGAAAGTTAGAGTAATTAATAAATCTGGTAGGAAGTAGGGCTCAGTCCATGGCTTTGGGGCATACCCATCACCTAGAGCACTACATTCAAAATGAGTGAGCATCTGTCCATAATCCAGTTTCGTTTCCCAGGCTCCAGCTCTTGCTCACACCTTGTCCCTCATCCCCTTCTTGTTCCTGTTCTCTCACCACTGAGTGATGCTGTCAGAGTTGATGGCGGGTTGCAGGACCCGCCATGACTGCCTAGCGTCTTTCCTCCTCTTGCTCAGCCTTCTCTCCAAGCTGTGACAGCATGTCCGCCTTGACTAGCCCAGCCTGTGAGCAAGAGACATTTAAAGCCTCTAGGGGCAGTACTCGGTCCAGAGGACTATAGGGTCCTGGGGAAACAGTCTCATTTGTTTATTTTTGAGACAGGGACTATCCTGCAGCTCTGACTATGCCTCCAGAGTGTTTGGATTTAAAGGTGTGTGCCGACACTCCCAGCTCTACTTATTTTATTCAAAATTGTTTTCTTGATAAATCTGCCCCTCTGTATTAGAAAATACACATTCAAAACACTCAAAGTTCTTCACACCAAAAAAAAAAAAAATTCAGGCATTTCCACTAAGGAAGGTCTTACTACTGTATTGAGGCACATAATTCTGCTTATGTTTGTGCATGGATTTCTGTTTGTCTTTGAGTCTAGGAAACTCTGGCCAGATTGGGGTGATGTCATGTGGATGAGTCTTTAAACCCTTGCTTGACAGGAAAGAAAGGTGTTGGTGGGAGCATATTCCTGGGGTGGAGACTTGGAGTAACTCTGGTTCAGACCTCATTGCTGCTGAGAATTGCCAGTGCTCACTGTTAGCAGTATCTTGAGTGACTTTACTTTCAATTTCAATTTTGTAGCAGTGTGTGGCTTTGAGCCCGGTAGTTTATATAAAGGAGGAGTGAAAAGCAGAAGGAAGAGATAAGAACAAGGGGCGAGCACCAAGCAGGTGGGAACTGCGCTGGGACCTGCAGGAAAGGGATCAGGTGAGTTTACTTTACAAAGCAATTTAGTGTTGACCTTGTCTAAATCTAACTCAGTGGGGCAACAGAGGTGCAAGGGCAGGCTGACTGTTGTCTGGTCTTCAGGAGTCTGTAGCGGGCCTTAATTCTGGGGTAGTTCAGCTTATCGCCTTTGGCGGGTGACATACAAGGTGGCAGCCCGACACTCTGAGGTCTCTGGATACAATGCTCTGGCATTCACAGCTCAGTGCAGCCACAAGTGCAGCGGGGAGATACCTGGGGTGGGAGACTGCCTGCTTCGCCGGGCCTTGCTGTAGCTCTGGCCTCCAGAAAAACTCCATCTTTATCAAGGAGCTAACAGGCAATTGAAATCTAAAGAGAACAGTTTTATCTGTCTCTAAATTATACCCTACTCAGAGTAGGGTTGTAAAAATATCTATTCAGAAATAAATTTAGTTCATCTCCCACTGAGTTTCTCTAAGCAAAGCACATAGTCAAAATTGACTTTGATGATGTGTAGGGTGTGCTTACACATATGCACTCACTCACTCACTCACTCAAACACACACACACACACACACACACACACACACCATGATGTATGCATCTTTTCATACTCTTTATCTTATTCTCATAAATGGGAGTAAGCTGCAGAGAAGTTGATCATCCTCTTCAAGGGACTTTGCCTCTATTTGAAATTCTCAGGATTCTGAACATTCTCCTGTCTTGGCATAATGTGCTCATAAAGGTCATCCCCTTTGTAGCAAGCAGCAAATTCCATCCATGTCTCTGATTGAACTATATTTAATTGTGTGGGCTATCACATAGCGCTGTCATCTATCTATTGTTGGGAGATTGAGCTGTTTGCATGTTTTGGGTGTTGTGAACACAGCCGCCATAATCATTGGTGTTTAATGTCTGTCCAAGCTCTTGTTTACAATTTTTCAGGTACTACATATAAGCAAAAGTGGAGTTGGATCCCGTGTTATTATGGTTAATGTTATAAAGATAACGATGCTATTTTCCACAGTGCTATAATCACTTCACACTCCCGTTAGTAATGCTGCAAACATCCACCTTTCCATATCCTGGTTCCCATTCTTTTATTTGTTCTTGGTTTTGCCCTATGTGGTAGCCGTCCTAGTGGAGTTGATGCAATGCCTGTGGTTCCCAGTGTCACTTCCTGAAAGCTGGGCCTAACAGAATATTGAGAAACAAAACGAACTGCGCCTTGAAGTAACCTTATTTTGCTTAAAGCATGAACACACAAGCCTAAACTTGACTTCAAGCAAATGCTTTGGCTTGACAGAAGCAGGACTTAAGTCCTGTTAACCCCGAGTAGTCAACAACATGAGATTCTGTGAGGACAGACTCTGAAACGAGCACCCTTGCCTCCCCAAAGAGAAATTCTATGTTTTTATATTTCTTCATTTGGAGCCCTCATCTTTCCAATAGACGCTCATCCTTGACATTTTCTCATTGGAAAACAAACACTTTACCTTTCAATCTAGTGTTTCCCAGCTCACGAACTAAATCATTTAAAAATAAAATCTTCAAAATTTTCATGTGCCTCAGACTTTTCTTGGTGATCAGTGACCATGGGTATTGTCTCGTGTGTCTAGGGCTGTTTACAAACCTCTAGAGAAAAAGGTCTAGTGCAGGTCTTTGCCCATTCTTCAATTGAGTAGTTCATGATGAAGGAGCTCTTTGTTGAGATGTTAATCCATTAAAACATAGGTGATATTTAATATTCCTCACCCCTTCTTGGGTTGCCTTCTTACTCTGGATAGAATCTTTCAATGCACAAACGTTTCTAACTTATATCTTGAGCTTTTCGGTACAAGAGAGCCAAAACGGAGTCTAGTACTGCTAGTCCTGGTTAGTCTATTGCAGTTAATGTCTTCCGGGCTCCCTGCAGACCAAGCATTTTCCAGGTTGGGGAGAAGCAGGGAAGGGAAACAAAGATAGCCTGTAATTTCCTACCGTTATTGTGGCATTGTTTCAGTTGGCTATCTATGTAGCTGCTGTGATATGTGGGTGTTTTCTGAAGTGCCCATAGTACCATTTCCTCATTTTAAAAGTTGGTTTATGGAGAGACCAAGACTTAGAACCAAGGAGTCTGTCATTTTGCTTGTTTGTCATGGTGTTAATAATCTCTATGAGCTGCTCACTTGAGATTTTAGAAGCTTCAGAGTCTCATGTGCACTGTGGGTACTTTTACATTTCTGTGACATCACATTCTTAAGGTATCCTTTGTATGGCCCAGCATATCGTAGGACTTCCGTGTAGTTAACAGTCACTGGATCACTTTCTTCTTACATTGAAGTGAAACTGCTGGCTACAGCAGTGAGCATCTCAACAAAGAGTCCTTGGAAAAATTGGAGAATGATGGAGAGTCCCTTGTAGGCTGCAGATGCAAGGTTACATGCAGACAATGTAGAGGTCTCCTCAGTCTGGAGTTGCTGGGTCCTTGGGTAATGCTGAGACAGGTAACTGTGATTTCATTTGTGTCAGGAGAATCTCGTAGGTTGGCAAGTTGCTATGGCCAGTGGACCAAAAATGATGGCCCCCATTTGTCTGGTGGAGAACCACAAGGAGCAGCTATCGGTGAACCAGAAAGCCCTGGAGATTCTGGACAAGATCTCGCAGCCAGTGGTAGTTGTGGCTATTGTTGGATTGTACCGTACAGGCAAGTCCTATCTGATGAACCGCCTGGCAGGACAGAATCACGGTGAGCATTGCTAATGTGTCAACATCATCTCTGTCTGCTCAACATCTTCTTCCCGGTCCTAACAAAAAAGTTCAGCTCCTGTTAGTACAGCTGCCCTTTCCTGCCAGTGTCACCACTAAATTACTGTTCTGCAGCATTTGTTCCTACAGCCTTTCCTGACATTAAGAAAATCTCTCCTGCATGTGCTCAAGGCGTGTCTCCTCCAATGCTCTGAACTCTGGGATCCTGCGTGTCAGTCCCCTGCCTCATACAACATGTTTTCCTTTATCATTTCTTTAGGAATATAAGACTATTTGGCAAGGTGTGACCTTAAAAATCATTATTGGACTTCACACACTTTTATTTATTTTGAAATCACGTTGGGTTCTTTCAGCTTTATTTATTCATTCTTTTTGTTTGACTTTGGACAGAGTCTCCCTATGTAGCTCTGGTTAGCCTGGATTTTATGATGTAGATCAGGCTATCTCTGGACTCACACAGGTCCAACTGCCTCTACCTCCTGAGGCACATGTTACTCTGTCTTGTTAATTACTTGAATATAAAAGTATTAAGTCATTCTCCTCTCGACTCTCCCCTTACAAGTAACTCTGACTAGCACATTTTTCTTCCAAAGACTTTTATTTTTAAGAGATAGGATCCTGCTATGTAGCCCTAGTTGGTCTAGTGAGAGCCGTGGTGCTCAGATTAGCATTGGACCAGCAGCAATGCTCCTTTCCCAGTCTAACTTACAGTAAGTGACACCTTATTGGCTTGAGACTACTCTGTTACAGTTGCCAGAGTCCTCCATGTTGGCGGATTCTTTAATGCCTCTTTGTTTCCATTCAGAACTTTTCTGTTCCATTGTTCTCATGTTAAATGTCCCCTATAGTTTGAAATCAATGACTCATAATAACAGAGTCTGGAGAAAATTGAGAAAGCACTGTCTTAAATGGTAGCTATTTACAGTCCAACGTGCCTGACTTTGCAACACTCCTGCCCAGAGGATCTGCTGTTAGTGTCTGTTTCACATAGTTGTGACTGTAGTTCCAGAGAGAACAGCTTGAGGAGCCAGCATTTGTCTGGGTTCACAATTTCAGAGGCTCACTCCAATGTCCTTTGGTCTGTTCCCTCCGGACTCATGCCAAGGGAGAAGGTGATGGCTGCAAGCCTTTGTAGAGGAGGCTCATGGAGGACAAGAGGCAGGGATGAGGAAGGCCCTGGTGACCAACGATAACTTCCAAAGTCAGTGACCTAGTGACCTCCTTCCTTCAACTAGGCCCCAATTCCCAAAGGCTCTAGAACCTCTCCAAGTAGTGGTAGTAGATGGTCATCAAGGACTCTGCACACAAGTCTGTGTGAGACATTCTACCCCATGCAAAACAGAACCCCTTGCCTCTCCCCCCAGGCTTCCCTTTGGGCTCCACTGTGCAGTCTGAAACCAAGGGCATCTGGATGTGGTGTGTGCCCCATCCCACCAAGCCAAAGCACACTCTGGTCCTCCTGGACACCGAGGGACTGGGGGATGTGGAGAAGGTAGGGCTAAGGTTCATGTCGGTTCCCTTTGCTGTTTGAAATTCGTTGTCATCTGTCTGTGATGTCTGCAGCCTGACCTGTGCTGGCTGAGGGGACACTGGTCTGCTGGATTTCACTGTTAGGAAAGATCAGACCTCACGCTATCAGCCAAAATACACCTTTGTTTCTGTACCTTGGAGTAAGTGATTTGATCTAATACCTTACAGGTTAACTGAGCAGGTCAGCATAGTTTACTATGATCCTGTACTTGGGGCAGAGATGGGGCATCCCTTGCGGCAAACTGGCCAGCCAGACTAGTCAAACCAGTGAGCTTGAAGTTCAGTGAGGGACCTTGGCTCAGCGAATACAGTAGAGGGCATCAAGGAACTCACTTTGGGCCTTCACATGCTCACACACATATTTACACAGATATTATCCGCCGTGGGAACATGAACACACAACCCACATGCAGTCGAGCACAAAGAAATAGCTTTTGTACACATAAGTACAGTAGAAAACTGCAATTATCTGAAAAACACTTTGTTAAATTTAGATATAATTAGACTCTCAAATTGCAATTATTGTGATATAGTATACCTATAGCACATATATTTATAGAGTAAGAAATTCCAACATCCTTCACTGAGTGCCATTCTGAAAACCTAATACAGTGCTAGGTTTTTGTATGTTATCTTCTTTCACAGAATTGAGGAAACAAAAACATTGTAAATATTTGAATCCTCTTACAAAATGAAGAACTTATTGTAGTAATATTTCACTTGTATTTTAATAAATAAAGCTTGCCTGAGATCAGAGAGTAAAACAGCCACCCTGGTCAGCCATACAGAGCAGGTAGTAGTGGTGCACACCTTTAATCCCAGCACTAGAGAGGAATATAAGACAGGAGTAGAGAGTTCTCAGGCTCAGTCTCATTCTGAGGTTTCCTAGAATCAGGATCGCCTTTTCGGTCTGAGGTAGAGGTAAGAGCCAGTGGCTGGCTGCTTTGCTTTTCTGATCTTAAGGTTGAACCCCAGTATCTGTCTCTGGGTGTTTATTATTCATGCTACAGATTTTCCTCATACTTGTCAAAGTTGTTATTGGCATTCTTGTCTATTGTCTTTGAATAGGAAATACCTTAACTGAAACGATGACCTACAGACTTTCTCTGGCTTTCCATCTCTTTCTGTCTTGCTCATTGCTAGGGACTGAATGAAGGCTTTGCATATGCTAGGTACCTGCTCTGCTACCAATTCCTGTTCCCAGACCTTTCTGTGTGTATGTATGTGAGTGTGGATTTACTTAAACCTGTAAAGTCTTCTTACATAAATATAATATAAATGTGCGTGGGTCCTATACTACAAATTTCTCTGAAAGAACTCCTGAGAAGGACTCTCCTCAGCCCTCTTCCCTCATGTGTCTTCCAGGTTGACCCTACGAATGACTCGTGGATCTTTGCCCTGGCTGTGCTTCTGGGCAGCACCTTTGTCTACAACAGCATGGGCACCATCAACCACCAGGCCCTGGAGCAGCTGCAGTATCCTTGCAGGACCTGAGGCGCCATCTTTCACTGAGGGTTCTGGAATGCATATGGAGGCACTGTGCTGCCCTGTCACTGTGTGGCTTTTGGTCAGGGCAGAGGAGACCCAGGGCAGCAAAGAGTGTTTATTGTGATTTATTTTTAATAAGAGAATCATGAGAATGTGCATGTGAATTCACTTTTCTTAACCCAGTGCCAGTTACGTCACAGAACTCACTGAGCTGATCAGGGCAAAGTCTTCCCCAAGTCCTGATGGAATCAAGAATTCCACAGAGTTTGTGAGTTTCTTCCCAGACTTTGTCTGGACTGTTCGGGACTTTACCCTGGAGCTGAAGTTAGATGGAAAGAGCGTCACGGAGGATGAGTACCTGGAGAATGCACTGAAGCTGATCCCAGGTAGAGGGAGAGCTGGGGTGGGGGGCTGGGAAGGGCTGGGATCTGTTGTGTTGCTCCCATCATCTGTGGGATCCTTCTGTACTGGCAGTGGAATGGAGATCTGCAGGAACTCTGATAGGTCATTGGGTGGTAATGCCTAGGAGTTTGTGTTTAATTTCTTTTGAGAAAAGTAGAGCCTAGAGCATAGCAAAATTATTCCAAGCCAAGTTATTTTCAGTTTGTATTTTAGCATATAAAATATAAAGTATCTAAACTTCTCCAAGTTTGGACATTTGTATTGACTGACTTTGTGGCTGCCTTCTTTTAAGAAAAAGTTGGCCACATAATTCTTATTCATGAATTTATCATACATAACCCATCTCAAAATACATTTTACAGAGTTGTACATTATTCCCCTCTCTCAGGAACATAGGTTCTTAATGCTGGATTGGTTATGTGGTGTGCAAAATTTATCATAATAGTCTATTTCAATTCATGCCACAGTTTCAGGATCAGTAATATTAATGGTCCATGTCAGTTCTATTAATGGTTTATAAACTATTTGCAGGGACATTACTAGCCTGAGTGTGGAGCTGATGAAGCCTTGTAAAGAATGTCAGTTTTTCTCCCTCTCCTTTTTATTTCTTTGCTGTCCTGAAACAGGTAGAGAAGCGGTCTGTGAGCTGCTGCGGTCTGTGAGCCGCTGCAGTCTAAGCCGGTGCAGTGTGTGAGCTGCTGCAGTCTGAGCCGGTGCAGTCTGTGAGCTGCTGCAGTCTGCATCCCTGTATTGTCACGGAGGCAGGCAGAGGAGCGGTCTGTAAGCTGCTGCAGTCTGTGAGCTGCTGTAGTCTGTGAGCCGCTGCAGTCTGTGAGCTGCTGGAGTCTGAGCCGCTGCAGTCTGAGCCGGTGCAGTCTGTGAGCTGCTGCAGTCTGTGAGCTGCTGCGGTCTGTGAGCCGCTGCAGTCTGAGCTGGTGCAGTCTGTGAGCCGGTGCAGTCTGTGAGCCGCTGCAGTTTGTGAGCTGCTGGAGTCTGAGCCGCTGCAGTCTGTGAACCGCTGCAATCTGCATCCCTGTGTTGGCTCAGAAGCAGGCAGAGGAGCGGTCTGTGAGCTGTTACATCTCAGAACTTCCAGAGCTCAGGAGAATGCGCTAAATTCAGTCTGGCTACAGTGGGCCACTAAGGCTTTTGATAAAATTTTAAAAATGAATTTTATTGTGTGTACTTTAGATTTATAAACTGATGTCATAGAACACAGGTGGGTATTAAGGTGAACACTGTAAGTCATGTAGATAACACACTAGTCATTACACACAGTTAAGTCTTATGATAAACAGCTAGAGTTGACGGCTTTAGTATGTACTTGGTGTTGCACGTTACGTTTCCAGTTCTCCAAACTCTGCGAATGACTCTTGACTTCCCATCTCTCCTCCTTCCCATCTCTAGTGACCACTGTTTTATTCTGTTTGTATATTTTGCTTTAAAAATGAGTTCTGTTTAGAATCAAAGTGTTTTGCTTTAGTGACCACAGCATTGTTCTTAGAATTGCTAATGTTGCTATTTCTAATAGTCTATCATCCTTTATTTGTGGCTCTTCTTTGGGGTTCCGCAGCACCCTTGCTACAAAGGAATGATTGGGCCAGAAATCACATGCAATCTGCTGTTCAGTCAACAGGCCACACAGCAACAGTGTGCTTGATGGCATGTTCAGGGCTGTGGATTTCAGTCATATGCTCCTCCAGGGGGGTTAAATGGCTCTTGAACTGTTTCACCAGATGTCTACCAAGTACAAACTTGGTATACTTTTGACCTGTAAAGAAGTGTTGCATGTTTATGGTAGAGACCTGTGAGCAAAGAACACTTCACAGAGACAAGGGCCTCCATCATTTGCCCTCTGCTCTAACACTACCCCCATGGCTTTGTGCTTCCCTTAACACTAGGTGACAATCCCAGAATCCAAGCATCCAATTTGCCCAGGGAGTGCATCAGACATTTCTTCCCTAAACGGAAGTGTTTTGTCTTTGACCGGCCAACAAATGACAAGGAACTCTTACGCAAAATTGAGACTATCTCAGAAGACCAACTGGATCCTAAGTTCCAGGAACAAACAAGGGCTTTTGTTTCCTACATCTTCACTGAGGCAAAGATAAAGACACTCAGAGAGGGAATTAAGGTCACTGGGAATCGTGAGTGTTTTTTTTCACACTTCTGTATAATGTATATTGAATATATTGTAATATGTATGCTATTTTTATTGAATCTAAAATAATGATGTACATATATTCTTAGTATGAAGAAATGTATATATTTTATAATTATTTATTGAGGATTCTATACCTTTAAAACTGCAAACTTTGTATCTTGTATCTATGGTTTCCACACATCTAAAGAAAATCTCAGGTGGTAATACAATCACAAGGGCAAAAAAATTTTCAACTGATAATAAATCATTATTAAGGTCAATAAAGCAGATGTATATTATTTCTTACAGTGGAGGTGTTGTATATTAACTATTCTTTGCAATGGGAATGTGAAATATCTTTTTGAAGCTTAAAGTAGCTCTAATATAAATACTAGTGTTTAGGTCACTGTAAGCCCATACTTTAGAATCAGCAATAAACGCAGTCTGTTATATGTTGTCTCAATAGTCTCCTTATGTCATTTATTTTCTATTAAAATATAAATTCTATTAAAATATTAAATGTAAATTGCATTTCCCAAAGGCACCTGAAGTTTTTAGATAAAAGTGAATTTTTTTTTAAAAATAAATTAAAAAAAATCACTGTGGACTGGAAAAACCATAAAAGTGAAGGGAAAATAAGAAATTGGTAGCAAAGCATATATATATGCCAGAAGAGGGCATTCAACCCCTGAAGCTGGAGTTACAGGTTATTGTGAGTCATTCAGTGTGAGTGCTGGGAATTGAACTTGGGTCCTCTGTAAGATGCTCTTAACTTGCTGAGTTATTCTTCTAGCAAAGAGGTGTGTGTGTGTGTGTGTGTGTGTGTGTGTGTGTGCATGTGTGAGTGATTTTCAAAATATAGTCTTAGAATCTTATATCCCATCAATTTATTTACCCTGAAACTCCTGGTTTGTGAAGGACTGGGGACTCTGGTGACGACGTACGTGGATGCCATCAACAGTGGAGCTGTGCCCTGTCTGGATGATGCGGTGACAACTCTGGCCCAGCGTGAGAACTCAGCAGCTGTGCAGAAGGCAGCTGAGCACTACAGTGAGCAGATGGGCCAGCGACTGAGGCTCCCCACAGACACGCTCCAGGAGCTGCTGGATGTGCACACAGCCTGTGAGAAGGAAGCCATTGCTGTCTTCATGGAGCACTCCTTCAAGGACGAAAACCAGCAATTCCAGAAGAAGATGCTGGTAATGTTTGTGTCATGACTCTGTCCCTTCATGGCTGTAGTGTTGCTGTGCCTTTGTTGACCTTGGGTGCTTGTCTTATTCAAAGATGAGCACTCTGTATTTCCATACTGAATGTAGTTGCAAAAATCCATAAATCCTTCCCAAACCTCAGGTACCTTTAATCCAGAAATCCTTCTAATTGTTGGAAAACCAGGATAGACTTGTGCTTTGGGTGAATTCTGTCAACATATCTGTGGATTGCAATCCTGTCCAAAACATCCACAGCTTATCTCTGAACCTGTTTTCTGTACAAATTTTCTGTATAAATCCTTTCATTCGTAGGAATCAAAGTTTCTTATACCAGAATTACATTGCTGGTATCTCCTAGTATCCCTTGTTATGTCATCACCTTTATTATAGACCCACAGGATGGAAAGGCAGCAAGGAATCAAGAGATTGATGGATGTTGCTGTCCTTTAACTGAAAGTCTTAGTGACGAGGACAGTCCAGTTACCCATTGCTTTGTATAGGTTTAAGGTTCTGAATTAAGTCACATTGAGATTATCTACTGATTCTGAGTCTTACTAAACTGGAATGCTTTCTCATGAGAATGACCATCCTTTTCATGACTCTTTAGAACTGTGTCTTCTTTATTCCTTCCATCTCATTTTGACTCTGTTTATTTCCCTTGCAGGAATTAATAGTGATCAAGAGGGCAGATTTCCTGCTGAAGAATGAAGAGGCATCAGAGAAATACTGCCAGGAAGAACTGAATTGTCTTGTGAAAGCACTAACAGAGAGTATTTCAGCGGGGACATTCTCCATTGCTGGAGGACACAGGCTCTACATGGAAATGAGGGAGAAGATTGAGCAAGATTATTGGCAGGTGCCCAGGAAAGGGGTGAAGGTGAGGAACAGGGAGAATGGGAGCTCAGAGCAGAGGAAGGATTTTTGAAATCGGAGAGATAGAATAGCAAATTAACCACACCCTGGTGTTCGGATGCTAAGTGCTGGAAATTTACAAGGTGTACAAACTTAGTTCTCAAGATAGATCCATGTGGTATAGGAAGTTCTTCTGTATATGTGGTGCTTTTATTGGTTAATGAATAAAAAAGCTGCTTGGGCCTATGAGAGGGCAGAATAGAGCAAGGCAGGAATTCCAAGTAGAGGTAGAGGAGAAAAGAAGGTAGAGTCAGGGAGAGGCCATGAAGCTGTCAAAAGAGACAGATACCCCAGAACCTTACCAGTAAATCACGAGCCTCGTGGTAAAATACAAAATAAGGGAAATGGGTTAATTTAAAATGTAAGAATTAGTTAATAAGAAGGCTGACCTAATAGGCCAAGCGGTGTTGTAATTAATATTGTTTCTGTGTGATTATTTGGGTCTGAGCAGCTGGGATATAAATGAGCAGTCTCTGCCTACATCCATGAGAGCATCAACTAAAGAAGTTATTGCATTCTGAGTGATAATTTCATGATTCTGTCAGAATGGTCTACCTATGGATGTCTTAGTTAGGGTTTCTATTGCTGTGAAGAGACACGGTGACCACATCAACTCTTATAAAGAAAGCATTTAATTCTGGTGGCAGCTTAGAGTTTCAGGGGTTCATTCTATTTCCATCATGGCAGGAAGCATGGCAGCTGGGAGTATGGCAGGGTGCGGGCAGACATGGAGTTGAGAGTTCTATGTTTCTGGAAGGGAACTGAATACTGGGTAGCATATTGAACATATATGAGACATCAAAGCCCACCTCCACAGTGACACACTTCCTCCAAAAAGAGCACACCCATTCCAACAAGGCCACGACTCTTAATAGTGACACTCCCTTTGGGGACCATTTTCTTTCAAACCACCCCAATGGGGTGGTAATAAATGTGAGAATATAGCTAACTGTAGTAAGGAGGCCACTTGTTGGTTCCTGGCAACTTAGCCCCAAAATGATCACACAGAAACTGTATTAATTAAATCACTGCTTGGCCCATTAGCTCTAGCTTTTTATTGGCTAACTCTTACATATTAATTTAACCCATTTCTATTAATCTGTGTATCACTGCATGGTTGTGGCTTACTGGCTAAAGTCCTGTCCAGTCAGTGGGGCTACATGACTTCTCTCTAACTCCTTTTCTTTCTCCCATCATTCCATTTAGTATTCCCTGCCTCGCTCTGTTCCCCTGTATCTCTACTATAGACACAAAGCAGTTCTTTTATTCATTAATGGTAATCACAGGATATAGAGGGGAATCCTACATCACCTCCCCTTTTCTGTTCAAATCAAAAAGAAGGTTTTAACATTAATATACTAAAATTACATATAAGAAAACAGGTATCAAGCAAGAATTACAGTTATAATATTTATATCTAGTTTATCTTTTATCATATCTAAGGAAAACTATAACTATCTATTCTTCAACTCCATCAAAGACTCCAGAAGGATATAATATTACCTAAGTAAACAGGAAGTGTATTGTAAGCAACTTCCAAAACTCTAGAATTGACAGAGACATTTTGCTGCCTGGACAGTCACCCAAAGTTCTTCTGTACCATTGAAGCATCCATCTTCAGCCTACATGCCCATAGTATCCAGCAGACTTTTTCTTAGGAAGCAGGAAATTTCAAAGACAGTTCCACCTATATTGACAGTTTATCAGTCCCTTTCTTCTGTGTCCTGCAGAATGTCTGGCAGACACTTTCATGAAGCAGGACCCTTGAAGGACTATCTCACCTTTAATAGTCTTTTTTATTTTTTTGTGGCTCTTCAAGTTCAGTTAGTTCATCAAGCAGTCCAGGCAAGAGCAGTTTTTTGCCCAAATGACTAAGCAAACTCCATTTGGAGCATCTTTAATGCCCATCTTCCTCTTGAAGTAGATTGGTACTGCCAGGAGCAGATGTGTCTCATTGTCATGAAAAGTCCTAAATTCTTAAAAACACTTTAAATGCCATATTCTGAAGGTCTCTGAAAGATTTGAAGAATACCTAACAGAAATATATCTCTATATATCTAGAAAACCTAACTAACATGATTGCAACCTTGACTATTATAGATGATTCCCTGTTAATTTATATTTCTTAATTATACATAACATCTTTAAATGAACTGCACAATCACAATACCTTAATTAAGAGCAGAAATATATATCATAACAAAATTGACCTTAAATTTGTATCAATAAACCAAGATACATGCCAATGCAAAGTATCCATCCCTATAGCATATTCCCCTTTAAATATAAATAAACATTTATAAACAATATTTGGGAGTATGGGAGTAGTTCTCTTCAGACTTCTACCTGCTGTTTATTGGGTGAAGTAATTTTTTGAGGGGTGTTCAAGGCAAACTTTCAAGAGGTCTTGGTCCATCAAACCACATTAGTCTGGAATAATTCCATAGGTTCTCATCCTCTGTGGAAACAAAGGAAAAACCTCTTTTCCATAGCAACATAACCTTAGACTCAAATTCTGAAGTCAAGATACCTTTAAAGTATATATGTGGGTTATTTAGCTCCTTCACAGTCAAAAAATTCAAAGAAAACACAATAATATACATAATCCATGCTCTGTGAATTTTCCACCTTTATGTGGTTTATTTTTGTTTAACTCTTTTTAATCTGACTGTCTATTTCTTTTTTCTAACTCTCTATACGCTTTTTCTTCTCTCTCCCAATCCTACGTACATTTATCCAACACTGTGACCCATTTAGAGGTCTTTTTTTTTAAAAAAAAAAATCTGGATTTGTCTTTATTGCATATCTGTAATTATTTTCTGATAAGAAGTGCTTCTTAAAATGCTAAGCACTTCTTAAGAATCTAAGCTGCGCCATTGTTAGGATATATACGGTAGTTCCTGCTTGTTCCACACTGCCCAGTATGGTGAAACTGCTCACCACAGCCTCCTCTGAGAACCATCCACAATGCCCCTTCTCTAGGCACACAGCTAGTCCATGCTGCCAGCAAGCAAGCTATGGCATGTTGCTCACAAACCCCATTCAACTGCTCAGTCTCCTGAAAGAGCCAGAGGTGGTAGCACAGCCCAGAAAGCTGGCATTTCAAAACAATATGGCTTTTTTTTTCTTTTGCTACCGCTGAATCAGGAAAACCTCTCTTAAAGGAGCTGTGGCAAGTTACCAGCTGAAAAAAATGTGGCTAAACTTTTTTTTTTTTTTTGTGTGTGTGTGTCTAGACTTTCTTTTCAAGCTCTCTCAGGTTTTAAGTGGATTTTAGTTGGCCATGTTGGTAACAAGCAGTGTTTTAAATAATATGGATTCTGTATGATTATTTTGGCTCTGGGTGGCCAGGAACTAACAACAGGTCTCCCTCCAACAGCTAATATATTACTCAGTTGTTGTCACCATGACACCATGGTGAGTCCTTTTTAGTCCTTTCTTTAGTTATCTACAATGCTTTGAGTGATGTCCCCCTACTACTGTGAGAGTTTACACATCTGTACCATGAAACCCAGGCAGGTGGAGGGACTTGACCATGAATACATTCAACAAGAGCAGAAGGAAGTGTAGCCCACATGATTATGCAACATTTTGCATGGGGATACCATATTTGAAAGCATCATAGGTTCCAGTGAGCACATGTGCACATGATGTGAACTGGCCGGATCTGGGAGCAGGAGGTAGCAGGTGGGCCTAGAAGGTATGATTGGGAAAGCTATGTAGCAGGAAGTACCTAGTGCCACTGTAGAGCAGGGGAAGTCTTCAGGCTTCAACATAGCATTTTGTCAGTGAGGCACAGTGGAGACCATGTTAACTCACACAGGTTCTCTCCCAGGTTCTACCAAGGTCTTTGCTCCTTCTTGGTCCTGCAGGCAAGTGAAGTCTTCCAGAGATTTCTGAAGTCACAGGCCACCATCGAGAGTTCCATCGTGCAGGCAGATACAGCCCTCACTGCTGGGGAGAAGGCCATTGCAGGTACAGGAGCATGCCTCTTGGCTTTCAGGAGGGGTCAGGTTCCCACAAGGCTTTCTGATAGAAGTCGTAGTTAGCCTATCCCCTTGTTAGCAGCTTTTTACCCTTCTGTGGATGCTCACTCCTAGAGCAACAGGAAGTCAGTCTGTGTTTCATCCAGGTGGGCAGGGTCTCCTCCATCCCCTCCAGAAACACTCTGTCCATTGTGTGGACCAGTGTGGAGTCTGTAGTTTCCTTTCAGGTCTGAATTGCTCTCTGGGTTCTGGAATGTAGACATTTTACCTGACCCATCACTTTCTTCCCTCTCTGAATGTTCCTGGGACAGAGGAGCAGGCCCAGAGGGAGGCAGCAGAAAAGGAACAAGACCTGCTTAGACAGAAGCAGAAGGAGCAGCAGCAACTGATGGAGGCTCAAGAAAGAAGTCACAAGGAAAACCTCGAACAACTGAGAACGAAGCTGGTGCAGGAGAGAGAGCAGCTCATCAAAGACCAGAAGAAGATGCTGGAGAAGCAGCTGCAGGTGTGACTCCCCATCCCCCTGGTGCCTGTGCTCTTGGATCCTCAGGCAGGAGGGAAAATGATTACAGCTGGGTAATGGGAGGAAACGTCATTGCTATGAGTTATTCTTTGGGATTCATAGAAAGACCCTGCTCTCTCTTTCCATGTCTTTGATTTTTGTTCTATATTTAGATTCTAGGAAATGTAGGTATTTATGGCTGCTGCTGGACACTGCAGAATGTTGATAGCATTTGGACTTTTGAGTTAGAGATTATATGACCTTATGAAGATTCACTAACATACTTTAAGCAGGTTCAGGTAATAAGAGTGGCAGTCGACTTGCCTGGAGGCCAGGGTTGTCTGGACCACAGACTCTCAGGATGTTCTATGTTGACATAAAGTGTCCAAAATCTCCAAGGAAGAGTGTAGCAAATGATAGCTTCTGAACTTGGCTGCTGCTGTCTCTAGGGTAGGTTGCCTCCTCGATTTGGCATAGGGAATTCGAATGATTCTCTTACTGTCTATCCGCAAGTTAGAGGATGTATTCCCTAATCAGCTGGTAAGCTGCCATCAAGTCTGTCTTGCTAAACCAGTTGACTGAGAACTTCCGATGTGAGCTAGGTAGCAAAACAATAATGGTGGGCCAGATCTGGTCATTCAAACTATGCTACCTCCAACACATGGGTCCAACTCTGATGATGTTGTTTGTGCTAAATTATTTTTGTAACTGAGAAATCATTTCTCAGAGCAACCTAAAGATAGTTTGACAAAGATCTTAAACAAAGTATACCTTTGGAATTTAAAAATATTTGTTTCTGTCTCTACTTTGACTTTTTTAGGCCCAAAAGGCATTGCTTGCGGAAGGATATAAGAAGAAATCTGAGGAAATGAATGCAGAAATAAATAATTTGAAAAGTAAGATTGAGACTATAAAGAAAGAGAACACCTCGTTTTTGGAGCAAACCCTGAATGCCTTTGCTACAGTTCTCTGTGCTCCTATTGTTCTGGCTGTAGAGGTTGTAAAAGGCATTGCTGCACTCTTTTGAGACTCGATCCTCTGAGAACACGAGACAGTGAATATGTGCTTTGTCCCATTTTTAAGGCACACGTTCATTTTCATTAAGCAAAGTTTTAAACATGGAAGTGTTACTCAGTTTAGAACAGTTTAGCCTGGCCTATGTTTGCTCAAACAAATTCATGTATGTTTTGCTAGATGATGTTTGCAACATCATATGGTGGGGATTCTCTGAGTTATTGCTTGCCATGGTGACAAATTTAAAAAGACTTAAATGTCATTGATTGATATTGGCAATACAAGCTTTCATATGTGCCCACAGTTGAATACTTCTTAGTCAGGAAACACGATCTCAGTGGGGCCTCTTTTGTTCTAATAGTAAGTTGAGCACAGAGATACTTTATCAAATAGGTATGTCAAAACACCATGCCAATCTTCCATGCCAACACACAAGTGTATAAACACAATGGGTTCTGAAAGATAGTCATCAGTGACAGGGAGGAAGGCATAGTGACCGCCAAGGATGATGACTGCGAAGCAGGATGTACACAAGCAGAGACATTTCAAAGAGGAATGAGGAGAAGTATTTGGGATGAGATAAAGCAAAGCAGACCTCAAGTTTCAGGAATCTTTCTGTAATAAATACTCAGACACCAGTGAGAGTGGAAGAGAGATGGTACCCACGGTCCAATGCCCAGATGGCTCCCAGGAGGCTTTGCTCCCAGGTCCAATCTACAGTCTCATTTTATACTTTAAAACCACAAGGTGGGGTGGACAAGTAAGTAAGATTTTACGGACGCATATGCAGTAGTCAGCAGGTTGTTAAGGGCAATGACTCTTTGTTTCAGCTGTTTCTCCAGGTAGCAAGTGAAATCATGCTTGGCAAACAGGTAATATAAGCAGTGCTTTAAGTAAATCTCTAAATAAACCCGAATCGAATACTTTGTCTTTCCTACCTTACTCTATGCAATCCCCTCCTTTCCATCGTCACGAGTCCTCGTGAATCTGTCTTGAACAATGGGGTTGGTTCTCCTAAAGTATCATCTGCATTGCTTTCCACTGGCTTTCATTTGTGTCTCCAGCCTTAATCCTTTAGACAGATTCTTGGTCCTTTCCCACACTATTCCTGCCTGTGTAGCGTAAAAACAGCGCTCCTCATTTGAAACCAGGCATGTACCTTTCTTATCAGCAGTACTCAAGTCTCATCCTCTGCGACTACAGAGGACCATTGCTGCCAGCTAATCTATTTCATGCTGAGAGTGACAGTGCTTTCCTGAACAATAGTTACGTTTTCTTCGACCTGAGTAGACAGCTCATTATGTTGGGCTTGCTAGATTCCCATTGCATCAGCACCCATAGTCGTAAATTTTGTCAGGATCATTCCTAGTGTTGAAACTTATTCTAGAGAGATTCCCATACCACTCCTACCTCATGTTTAGGTCCCAAGATGTGAAAGAACTCAGAATTTATTGAGGGTTGTCAAGAAAATTGTAGTAAAACATTCCTTTGAGCCACCAGCTTACAAATTATGAAAGAGAGACTTCTTATTAATTATGAAAGGTCAGCCTATAGTTTAGGCTTGTTCCTAACTAGCTCTTATAACTTAAATTAACTCATTTTTATTAATCTACATTTTACCGTGTGGCTTTTTACCTTTCTTTCATTCGTTATGTCCAAATCCCTCCACGTCTCATTGGCATCTCCTGCCTAGCTATTGGATATTTAGCTTTTTATTAAACTAACCTCAGTGATATACCTTTACACAGTGCAATCAAATATCTCACCGCAGAAAACCATCGATGGACCTGTAGGTTTCAGTTGGAGCCCAGTCTGCAATAACCATAGAGAAGGGTGGATGGATTGAAGTCTGCTAATGGTAGGCAAGGGTTTCCCAAGGTGCTGAAATGCCTGTGGTTGTAAAGCTAGCAAGGCTGGGTAGGAGCCTGTGGACAGCTGTAGGAATACAAGATGAAGAAAAGCATGAGTGAGCGTCTACGTACAGTAAAATTTGCCTGGCTCTGATGGTAACAGTCCTGAACACGAATGGGGGACTGTTGGATTGTACCAGAGCTACAGGTCACAAGGTGATTAGTCTTTTTGTGTAGACCTCTTGTGACGTAAAGACCACAGGATAAATGATTTCTTCTAATATGGAAACCATGCGTAGAGAAGGAAGTGATGGCGGAGTCTGAGATATCTCTCTTTCTTCCCTGCAGGGGGATGTTCAATGAAGTAGCCATGGAAACCACTTTTCTCATCTCTTTGGCATATTTTCTGAGTATCCATGAACCAATTTGTTGCCACCTTCATCATATGCAGACACATAGTCATATTAAGCTTAAAAAAAGCACACTTTTAAGGAGATTGGAATTTATTCATTTAATAAATATATACTTCCTTTGACCATGTGTGCCACTGTAGAGGACCCTGGGAAGGTACTGAGGATCACATGGCTACACCATGGTTACAGTTCCTGTACTCAGAGGCATAAAACAGGTTACAGTAGCAAAATGCATACATAAAATTCCTTAAGAGCATTGCAAAAGAGTCCAGGGTCCACCAGCAGGGCAGAAAGACAGCTAGATGTGGATTAGTGAGTGGGTCTTCACTGGGGAAGGGATGTTTCAGGCACAGTTTCAGTAAACGCATAGCTATTCAGGAAACGCAGAACGCATGCTCCATGTAAGAAAAGAGAATGTATGTTGCCCTATCCCGCACTGCTCCAGGGATTGACCTAACATGGGCAATGAGGGAATGAAGACAACAAACAGACACAGTAAAGCTGAGATCAGGTGGGCTGGGCTCCATGAGGGAGAAGCCACAACACTCAGGGAGCTCAGCGTGTTTATTACAAACAGTAGAAGAGGGAAGCGTGGTTTTGTACACAGCCGGACACAGAGGCGGGGTTTTGCATAAATTGACCATGGAGGGAGGTTTAGGTAATCTAGTTTGGAGCTCACTCTGTAGGGGAGTGATCTTCCGCTGTAAATATCCAGGGAGGCAGGGGACAGAGTCACGGTGGACATTTCCTGCGTGCACAATCAACATTAGCTCTCAGACCAGAGGAAAGCATTTCTCATGGGTGAAGCTTTGATCCTTAAGATGGCTGACTCACGCCAACAATACACACACACTCAGGGCTTTCTCCACTCCCTGCAGCATGTAGCATTTACATTCTCTTCTTTTACATTTATTTGTTTATTGTCCTCCACAAACACAGAGGACTGAGAGAAACTTGTGGGGACTGGTTCTTTCCTGCCACTGCGTGGGTTCTGGGGATAGAACTAGGTTGTTGGGCTTGGTGGTACTCACTTCTACCAATTTCTCCATGTGTCACTTTGGTTTGGAGGAAAGTTTGAGAGTTCTTTACTGCTGGAAGCTCGTGTTGAAGGAGAGATAAGGTGAGACAACAAGATGGACACGCAGGAGCCAGGCTGAGGAGGAGAGATAAGGTGAGACAACAAGATGGACTCGCAGGAGCCAGGCTGAGTAGGATCTTGTAGACACAATAAGAATTGTATCCTACCCACAACAAGAAACAAAACCTTTGTGTAGGAAAATGACTTAGGTTAACCTGTTTTTTAATTCTAACTGCACGCAGAATGAATTAGAAATGTTTCAGAGCGTTTCCTGGCTATGCCATCTCTCCTCCGGATGTCTGTTTTGTGAATCTGAAGTTGTTCCTGCCTGAAGGCTGTCTTGTGAGTCTGTTTTGTCCCTGTGTCTGTCCCTGTGTGTGCTCGCCTGTCTCTGTGACTGTTGTATTAGCTCTGTGTGTCTGTGTGGTTGTGCGTGTATGTCCCTAACAAAGGGTTTGCTCTGTTTTTATTGAACAGCATAGAAAACATCAGATGGGAAGGAATGGAATACTCTATAGAAAGGGATCAAGCCACTGGGTCCAAATGACCCAGCTAACAAATGCTGTAGGAATTCCTACAGCCAGTAGCCTTTAGTTACCTGCCCACTTGGGCGTGGCCTCTTATACTATAAATGCTGATGTAAAGCATGCAATTGCGCTCTCTTCCCGCTGCAGGATTCAGTTGCTGTTCCCTGTTTGAGCGGAGGACTGTGATCTGTGAGTCTATTCCTAAATAATACTATTATACTCAAGTCTGAGCTAGTGTGGGATTTCCTTTTTAGCATCCTTCTTCATCTGGCGCCCATGTGGATCTGAACTCCACACCTACTGGGAGGATTGGCTTAAAGGACTAACTGGTCCACAGCCCAGAAAGTCTCCACCCCCACCTGCTTGACTTGCTTTTACTTACTAAGCTTTTTTTTTTAAACCCCCACCACAACAGAGCTAAGTGCATATGGTGAGTTGGAAATAAACCAAGCTCGTACACATTTCTCCCCCACTGCTATGTTCCCTGCCATGTGGCGACTTGTGCATCTTCTGGTTTGTGCTCCCTGCTTATGAGTTCTGGGCTTCTTACTCCATATATGAAATTGATTTAATTGCTTTTAATTTGACAATTAAAGCACATTTCTCAGTATTGAACCAGCACCAAGGCAGGAAAACAAACCGACTCAGTACTGTTGTGATGTGGGAGTCTGCTGTTTTGTGTTGATTTCATTGGTTAAATAAAGAGACTGCCTTGGCCCTTTAAGAGGACAGAAAATTAGGTAGGCAGAGTAGACTGAACAAAATGCTGGGAGAAAGAAGCAGATTGAGGAGTCGCCATGATTCTCCTACCAGACACAGACGCAGGTTAAGATCTTCCCTGGTAAGACACCTTGTGGTGTTACAGGGATATTAGAAATGGGTTAGGTCAATATGTAAGAGCTAGCCAATAAGAGGCTGAAACTAACGGGCCAGGCAGTGTTAAAAGAATACAGTTTCCGTGTAATTATTTCGGGGCATAAGCTAGCCATGCGGGCGGCTGGGTGCCGGGGACACAGCCCCTCCGCTCATATTTCAACACCGTTGGTGTTGCCACCAGTTGCAACTTTGAAACCATGATACCTGCTGGACAATTAAGATTATTACACCTAAAATAATTTACTGGTCCTCATAAGAGGTAAATATTTTATTAATTAATAAATCAATAAACTTGAAAGTTATATAATTGCAGACAATATAACCATTTAGAAGTTTAGTAACTGTTTTGCTAATACTATGGATTGTATTCTGCAAGGCTCGTATGGTTATGATATATCCATTTATTGGATAGTGGGACTCAGTTTTTTTCTTCATATTATATCCTTAAGAAAGTAGTTTTATAACAGAGCCAAAAATGAGGCACTTTTAAGAAATGAAACAGTTTTTACAGAATAATAACGAATAGCAGACTGACAGGATTAATACCATTGGAAATCAAAAGTTACCTGAAAAAATTACTATTGAAAAGGGTAACATTAATTTGACAGACGAAATTTAATCCATGTCAAAGGATACTTAGAAATTATCTGAAAGAATTTATACTGTTGAATTTGACAATCAAAATTTGTTAAAAACCTATGCTAGGTTAGCAGATAGAGTATTTTTCCAGAAAGGCAATCTGCACATTATCCAAATAATGTTCAAGGATGAGATGTTATCTTTAAAGGAAAAACTTCAGACCTTGGAATCACATATGTAGAATAAAGACCAGAAGCTAGGTGCCTCAGTAAAATCACTAGAAATATATACAGGCCAGGAGATTCAGACTTGACAAAAGACAGTAGTAAAAAGATTGGAAACGATTGAGGAAATTATTGGAGCTGATGAGCA